CGCCACCCCCATCGTCAGAAACCTCACAATCGCCCTCCCGAATCCACCCCTACAATAACGCCTCAACAAATATATGAAATAAACCGGCGCCGCCACCATAAACAGGTGCTTAGAGCATATCAGCACCGCAAACGCAAATCCCCCGGCCAAATCCCTCCCCTCCCTCAAAAACCCTAGCGAGATCAGCAGGATCCCCAACAAAAACCCATTGTACTGGAAATGCACGTGGTCCACGATCAAGAGCGCCGGCGACCAGAGGACGAGGGCGAGGGCGATCCGGCGACCGGTGGGGCCCAGGAGGCGCGGGTGAGGGTGGGTGCCGATGAGAGGGTGAGGTCGGAGGCGGCGAGCGGAGAGGCGCTGGAAGAGGACGGCGGGGCGGCGGAGTAGTCAGCAGCCTACAACGAGGCCTCGATGGTGGGGTCCACCAGGGAGCTGGGAAGGAGAGGAGGAGGCTTCGAAGTAGCGAAGAGTGGGGGGTAGTCGAGGGTCCAAGGGCTTGACCTCGTCGGAGTACCAGCGGGGAGGGGGAGGAGGAGGTACAGGGCCAGCAGTGGCGGGGACCTCGAAGTCCGTGCTGCGGTAGGAGGGGGGCGAGAAGGAGCTTGATGCACGTCCAGCGATGGCGACGGAGAAGAACCAGGCGAGATCGTTCATGGCGAGCGACGAGGGAGGGCTGGATCTGGGACTGCTTGTACAGCCTCCGGGCTTTCTACTACTAAGGGCCTGTTTGGATTTGTAGGGGGTGAAGGGAAGTTGAGGGAAACTGAGGGAAGGGAAGGGAAGGGAGTTCCCTTCCCCTTGGTTACACCCTAATTTGCGGGGTAACAATTTTTATATTATTAGGGGGTGAATCAAGGGGAACTAGGGTGAATTAACTTAACCTCCTAAGTGTTCCCAAACAAGGTGAATGAAGGTGAATGGTTCTCCTCCCTTCCCCTCACCCCCATTACCCTCAATCCAAACAAGCCCTAAAAGACGACGGGCCCGCTAACCCGTTAGCTCGTGCGCTTCTCATGCGAGCAAAATTTACGAAACACCTCACTACAGTTTGGTAGGTTACGGAGACAACCCAACTTGACTTCTTTTCTGAACGAAACACTTGCATATATTCCATTAGGCCCCGTTTGGCAAAGGGTTAATGAAGAGGGGTTAAAGAGAAGGATTAATGTACTTAGCCCATTTGATAATCCGAATGACTAAATTATTAACCTGTTAAATAAGTTTTATTTTAGCCCTTATGATCAGTTTTAGTGTTTAGGAATAACAATGATTTTGACTATTTTCTTTATAATTAGAAGGGTTAACTCTTATTCCATCTAAATAGGAGTATTAGTAAACCTCTCATTTTGAGGGGTTAACTCATTTTAACCCCTCTAGAGGGGTTAACTTAACCCTTCTATATTTTTTATGTTTGGCAAATTATGGAGGGTTAACTCACTTTAACTCTTATATAGATTTGTTGTGTTTGGCAGGTTATGAAGGGGTTAAGTCTCCTTAACCCCTCTCTTAACCCTTTGCCAAACGGTACCTTACAGATCCCAAAAAGATTAGCTATTTTCCATTATTAACTAGGAGGTCCGTTAAGAAAATTTGAAAATTTAACGAGATTTTATTAGACACCCAAAGTTTATGAGGGTTTCATGGCAAAAATTTATAGGCGTTTTTCAAAAATCTATAAAGGTCAGGGGTTTGTGAAAAATTACTCTCAACTGCCCCCCAAATCCAACAGCGTAGCGTAACGCCGCACGCGCACTGATCCGAAGGGCCTCCTTGGACGGTGGCGGAAGCAGGTTGTTCTCCAGAGCTGATGCGGC